TTATCCTTTCTGGTGCCTATAAACATTGACAAATATAAGCCTAGAGGAGGAGATAGATGTGAGGCATGAATCGGGATGGTTTAGTGACAAATGCTTCAGATTTAGCAATACAAGCTCTGGAATAACACTAGAGTTTTAACCCCGGGCCTAACTTGTGGAGTTAGTGTTGCGTTCCCCATTTTCCCCATCCCTCAGTCTCCTTGGAACTGTTCATTGTGAATTGCTCAGAGTCCAACGGGTTAGATGTGGATGTCTCTCAGAAGAGCTGCCCAGATAGCCCAGTATCATTAAGACACGGAGGCAAATTGCTTCGCGACGGAAGTGCCTCTCTCACTTGTTTCATCTGCTGGCTAGTGGCCCCAAAGCCAATCCTTGCCATCCAATTAGTCGCGAGAAACATCCTGAGATTGTCCCAACATTCCAGGAACCCGTCCCAAGATTATTCTGAAACCTGAGTTGATGTAAAACGTTTGGGAAAGTGCATGACTCTCCCAGGGTGGGAATTCCAGAACAAAAGATTTATCGTCTGTATTTTGATTTCGGAAGGGACTTCATGAAGGCAGCCGAGGTTGCTGTCGGACTCCTCCCTGTGCCACTCAATAAACGCTATCTTGGAGTTGCTGAATTGGACTCTGCTGCTCAGGGCATGGACTCCTACCAGGGCTGGCAACCCTATCAGTTAAGTAGCTTTGGAACATTGGACCAAGTCACTTGGCATCTTTGAGCTGTGTGGTTTGAGGCAAGTCACTTAATCTCATCAATACATGGGATTAAATAGTACCTCCCTCATAGGTCTTTCCATGGTCACATGGCTGAAGCCAATAGGCAGATTTGGGATTCAATAAAGGACCATACCAAACATACAAAAATAATCAAGCTTACTGCTGATTCATAGCTACGCTGTCGGGCAAGGTGGAACTGCCCCCGTGAGTCTGAGATGAACTCTTTATGGGAGGAGAGAGCGCTGTCTTTCTTCTGAGGAGAGGCCAGTGGTTGTCAACTGCTGACCGAGCAGTTAGGAGCCCAGTGCCTGACCCTTCGGGCTCCTTCTAGAGGATGATCTGGAAGACGCACATTTTCTGTGCAGCAATGCCATTGTCATCCCCAGGGATAGTCCACGTGATTCAGACCCATCCACAAATAGAGTTCTTATTGCAACTGGCAAAATGCCAACCCTTCT